GTTAATGTGGTAAATTTTATGTTATGTATATTTTACCTCAATTAAAAATTTTTAAAGGCAAAAAAAAGAACAACAAAAAAAATATGTAGCAAAACTACCACAGAGCAAAGGCCTCAACCAGATGCTTTCACTGGTTAATTCTACAAATAGTTATAGGAGAATTTACACCAGTTCTTCACAAACTCTTCCAAAAAATAAAAGAGGGCATACTTCTCAACTCATTCTATGAGGGTCATATCACCTCGATACCAAAACCAGACAAAACAACACAAGAAAACTACAGACCAATATCTCTTATGAATATAGACTCAAAAATTCTCAACAAAATGCTAGAAAATCTAATACATCGACTATGGCTAAGTGGGATTTATTAGGAATGCAAAGTCATTTTATCATAGGAAAATCAATTAATGTAATACATCATATCAATAGAATAAAGAACAAAAACCACATGATCATCTCAATAGATGAAAAAAAAAACCAAACAAACAAACAAACAAAACCAAAAACTAAAAACCCAGAACATTTGACAACATCCAAAACCTCTTCAAGGTAAAAATACTAACAAACCTGGAATAAAAGGAAAGTTCCTCAGTATGATAAAGGGCATTTATGAAAAACCCACAGCAACATCATACTTAATGATGAAAGACTGAAAGCTTTTCCCCTAAGATCAGGAACAGGACAAGAATGTCTACTCTTGCCATTTCTATTCAGTGTTGCACTGGAGGTTCTAGCAAGGGCAATTAGGCAACAAAGTGAAATAAAAGGCATCCAAATCAGAAAGGTGCAGAGGACATAATCTTGTTTATAGAAAATTCTAAGGATTCTACAAAAGCCTATTTGAACTAATAATGAGTTCAGCAAGGTTGGAGGGTAAAATATCAGCAGACAAAAAACCAATTGTATTTTTATACACTTGTAATGAACAATCCAAAAATAAAATTAAGAAAACAATTTCATTTATAAAAACATCAGAAAAGAACTAAACACTTAGGAATAAATTTAAATAAAGGCAAAATGTATACTCTGAAAACTACAAAGCATTGTTGAAAGAAAATAAAAAAGACCTAAATAAGTGGAAAGGCATCCCATGTTCATGGATCAGAAGAGGCAATATGATTAAGATGACAAAACTCTGCAAGTTGATCTATAGATTCAATGCAATCCCAATCAAAATCACGCTGGCTTCTTTGCAGAAAATGACAAGCTGATCTTAAAATTCATAAAACAAGCTTGAAAAAGAAGAACAAAGTTGGAGGATTCAGACTTCTCAACTTCAAAAACTCAATATAAAACTACAGTAATCAAGACAGTGTCTTACTGGCATGAGAATAAACATATAGGTCAGTAGAATCAAACTGAGCCTAGATATACACCCCCATATATACAGTCAAGTGATTTTCAACAAGGTATGAAAACAAATCAATAGAGAAAGCCTTTTCAACAAATGGTTCTGGAACAACTGGATACCCACATGCAAAACAATAAATTTGGGCCAGTATTGGGAGTCCCTAAGACCACACTATTTCAGTGATTGCTAAGAAGACTCACAGCATTCAGTATAGTCATACTTGTAGCTATGACTTGTTATAATGAAAAGAAGCAAAGCAAAATAAGCAAAGGGAAAAGGATGGGGGTGAATTCCAGGGCAAACTAGACACAAGCTTCCAAGGGTCCTTGTGGGGTCACATAGGACATACTTAATTCCCCCAGCAATGTGTTGGAACAACACATGTGAAATGTTGCCCGCTAGGGAATCTCATTAGAGACTCAGGGCCAGGACTTTCATTAGAGTGTCACATAGGCACTCTACCTAGCAAGTACCAAAATTCCAGATTGCAGAAGGAACATAGGTGTTCAGCATAAACCATAATGTTTGTACAAACAGTTTAGGCAGTGTGAGCCACTTTATCAGTTAATGGTGGGAAACATCCTGAAATCTAAGTTACCACACTCCAGGCAAGGGCCATTTTTACAAGCAGGCTTTTACAAGGTCAGCAGTTTGAGCCTGTTATGTTAACTCTTTCTGCACTAACCCCTTACTTCACACCACACACAAAAACAGAACAAAAAACAAACTCAAAATGGACCAAAGATCTAAATGTAAGAGCTAAAACTATGAACTCTTAGAGGAAAATATAGTGGCAATTCTTCATGACCTTGGATTTGGCAATCGTTTCTTAGCTATGTCACCAAAAGCATGAGCAACCAAAGAAAAAATAGATAAAGTAGACTTCATCAAAATTAAAAACTTTTGTGCATCAAATGACACCATTAAGAAAGTAAAAAGACAACACACAGAGTGGGAGAAAATATTTGAAAATCATTTATCTAGTAAGGAACTTTATTTAGCCTATGTGAAGAACTCTTACTATTCAAAAATAAAAAAGCAAATAATCCAATCCAAATAAAAAGGCAAAGGATCCGAATAGTCATTTTTCTCCAAAGAAGATATACAAATAGCCAACAGCACATGAAAAGATGTTCAAAATCATTAGCTATCAGAGAACTGAAAATCAAAACCATAATGAGATACCACTTCGTACTCACTAGATGGCTATAATTAAACAAAAAACAAAAAAATCAAATAAACAAAAAGAAAAATAACAAGTAATAGTGAGGATATGGAGAATTATAGTCCTCATACATGCTGGTGGAATGTAAAATGGTATAGCCAGCCACTTTGGGAAACAGTCTGCAGGTTCCTCAAAGGATTAAACAGGATTATCACATGACCCAGCAATTCTACTCCTAAGAGAAATGAAAATATTATGTCCACATGAAAACTTGACACAAACGTTTACAGAATATTGTTCATAATAGCCAAAAAAATGGAAACAATCTAAATGTCCATCAACTGATGAAGGGATAAGCAAAATGTTATATATCCATGCAAAGTTATAATATTCAACCATAAAAAGGAATAAAGTGCTGATAGATGCTACAACATGGATGAATCTTGAAAACATTAAGTGAAAGAAAAACTAAAGGTCATAGAATTTTTTTATTATTTATTTTTTAGGAAAGGCGATCCTTGGTTAACCTCACAGATTGCAAGGACCTTGTCACCAGTTTTTATTTTTCACGCCTATAGCACCTGGTTTTCCTAGATGGTCTCCCATCCAAGTATTAACCAGGCCCAACCCTGCTTAGCTTCTGAGATCTGATGAGATCAGGCATGTTCAGGGTGGCATGGCCGTAGACTAGGATTTCTTTTTGAGGTGACAAAGGTGTTCTAAAGTTGACTGTGGTGATGTTCGCACATATCTTGGATTATAGTGACAACCAACTGTATGGTAGTGAAGTATGGCTCAATGATGCTGTTAAAAGTAATTTTTAAAATAATCAAGATTGAATGTGTTTTCACTCACTTAGTAAAGAATTCAAAATGATTATATCCATTGCTGAGGAGGGTGTTGTGAAACACACGCACAACTTGTGCATATAAACTGGTAAAACAAAAAACCTTTCAGAAGACAAGGTGGTGACCTATCAATAACCTAAAAAATGCTCACCCCTACACTTTCACTTTGGAGAATCTATCCTAAAGAAATACTCATATGTAGAAAATACATGGTGCACAAAGGGGTTATTTTTAATAATAAATGAAAACAAGTTAAATGGCCAACATTAATAGAATGCCTAAGTTGTAAAGATCCCTTGTGATGGAATATTATGCACCCATCAAAAGGAAACCAATTTTTGCATCCACAGCAAGAAAGTTCCTGGCTTAAAGAACATACTTAAAAGTTTTTTAACCAGAAAAAAAGAAGGCTTACAAAGAATTATTTTTTAAAGGAAAAGGGTAAATTCAGTGGTTCTCAAAATGTCGTCTTTGAAAAGCAGCAGCTGCATGCCCTGGGTGTATGACATGTGAAATGTGAGCTCTTGGTGCCCACTCCAAGCTCCCTTAATCAGACCCTGGAGGTAGGCCCAACAGTCTGTATTTTAACAAGTGTTCTGATGCACACTTGAGAACCATTGGCATAATACAATGTGAAAGGTACAGGCAGGTTTCAAACCATAGCCAATTATTGAGTGCTGACTATGTGTTCTCATGATCTCATGTCATTTCCACAACCACCTTACGTGTTGGTACTATTGTTATCTCCATTCGACAGATTAGGAAACTGAGGCACAGAGATATGAAAAGACTTGCCCAAAATCAGAGAGCTAGTGAATGGCAGAGCTGGGACCCCAGTCTTTTCTCTGCCTCCAAAGCCCATGTTGTTAACCATTGTGTCAGCACTTCCCTGAGCATGGGCCACAAACATAACCAGTCATCTCGGGGGTACTGGCTGTTCATTTTAAACACCAACAGTTATGCATTGAATGTGTTGTAGAAAAAATATATAACTCATGTTTTAAATAGTGACGTTTCCTTTTAAAATAACTAAATTTATATTAAACGTTAGTCACTTTAATGAAAAATATTAAGTAAATGGAAGTATTGTTATGCATAGATATGGCAAAAATGGTAGAGATGGTTAATAGTGATATATGGGGAACACTGAGCCCACTTCAGTTACTTAAAAAAAAAGTAACAATTTGTGTATTTTACTGTACATAATTTTTACCTTAAAAAGGACTGTACAAAAATACTGGATTCTAGTTAGCAATGTACATGCTGCATGCAGCACGTAGAGGGAAGTATATTCAAGTCAGCTCCCTACATTTAAAGTGCATTGCAAAAGTAAGATTGACTGACTGGAAGGCTGGATGTGACAAAGCAGCTGTGGCAAAATGGTCATTGTAGAACCCAGGTAATATGTACTGAGTACTCACTTGCACAAATTCTTTCAACTTCTCTGTGTGTCTGAACTTACATATTGGAGAAAAATGTATATAGATTGCCTCAAACAGTGAATGAATAAGTAAAACCTGATAGAAATCTCCTGAAGTGCTTTCTATACACTCTCCTGTATATATCCAAAGTGGGCTTTTATTACTTTTATAATAAAATAAACACTTTTTCAAGGAGACAAATGGCACAAGAGTCAATTGATAAAACGGGCCTTTATTCCGAGGGCTTAATGCCGAGAAGGAACTTCTTGAGATGAGCTTGGAGTGGGAGAAAGCTGCTCCCCTCGCTCCAAGGGGAACGTGATCTCAGCACTTCTCAACAGCCCAGCTGTGCAGGGGAGTCCAGGGGGAGAGCTCATGGACAGGCTCTGGGCTGTGGGCTTCGGGTCTGACCTGCTTGCCTGTCAGTGCAGGCCCCTGGTCATTGTGTCCTGTGTCCTAAGAAGCATAGTGTCAGGAGAGGTGGCAGAGGAAGTTGTGCAGAGGCAGGGCCAGGATCCCTGATAGGGAGATCCCCAAGGTGTCAGAGATACAGGCGGCGGCCATGGCAAATTCCCGGTGCTCATCAGTGGTCTGGGGAGGGCAGAAGCAGGGGTGAGGCTTCAGGTCTCCACATCTCTGCCCTGGCCTTTTCCAGAGAGGCCACCCACAACCCTCCTCTGGCTGGTGCTGACCTCCTGGGCAATGTTGTAGAAGGTGTTCACATAGGCAGCACCCCCCAGGAGCCCTTCAAACAGAATGATCAGGAAAACGAGGTAGATGCTCGGCAGGAAGCTCAACCACACATCCGCCAGCAGCAAGGCCAGGTTGAGGCACTGTGGATGCAAGAGGAGGGGAGAGCTGAGCCTGGGACCGGCGGTGAGAAGGGAGGCAGGTGGCCATCCAGTCCAGTGGTCTCAGTCCTGGGAGGTGCTGCTGAGGGAGAGGGCTGGTAGGCCTAGATCAAAGCCCAACACCCAGCTGGCCTACCAGATGCTGGGACCGACGTGCACCTTCTCCCTACCCTGTCCCAGCACCTTAAACCTTGTGGGTCTTGCCCTCTCCCTCCTTTACTCCTGTCAATCCTACCGCTGGGAATGCTATTCCACCCTCCCTCACTGGGGATCTCCTAGTCACCACAGTTCATAGCTCAGCTTGGATCGGGGTCACTCGCTTCTGTGCTCATGCCTCTTTCCACTGCGCTCCCTGAATAATTTTTGCCCCGTTTTACTACACTGAGGCTCTGGTTAGACCAGCGGTTCTTGACTGGACTTGATTTTGCACCCAAGTGGACATTTGACAATGTCTGGAGATATGCTTGGCTATCAAAGCTGGGGATGGAAGGTGCTACTGGCATCTAATGGTGAGGCCAAGGGTGCTGCTTGACATCCTACAGTGCACAGGATGGACCCACAGCAAAGAATTATCTGGCGCCAAATGTCAATAGTGTCGAGGTTGAGAAACTCTGGTTTAGATGGTCCCATCTCTTTTAGGAAGTCTCTCTGACCCCACCCAAGGGTGTAGGTCCCTCCTGTGCCCCAGTTCCTTGGGGGATCCCAATGTCCCATCTCTGAGTGCGAAGAGTTGCCACAACAGTGGTTCATATGCTTGATGCACATGGGAATCATCTGGGGATCTTTTTTTTTTTATTATTTATGCCTACAGCACCTGGTCTTCCTAGGTGGTCTCCCTTCCAAGTACTAACCAGGCCCGATCCTGCTTAGCTTCTGAGAGCAGACTTCAGGATTGTTCAGAGTGGCATGGCCATAGACCATGGACCGGGGCTCCACCGGGGTGAGAACCCAGGACCTTCTACATGTAAAGCAGACGTGCAGTAGACCATGGACCGGGGCTCCACCGGGGCGAGAACCCAGGACCTTCTACATGTAAAGCTGACGTGCTAACAGCTACACTATGGAACCACGTGCATGGGGATCTTGTTACCCACACAGACCTTGCCCTCAGAGGCTCTAAAGCACTTGGTCTGAGGTGGGCTCAGAGATCTAGATCTGCGTTTAAAAGAACACACCTTTGAATGCCAACTGTAATTGAAAAATAAAACATTAGAAAAAACACACCCTGGTAATACTAATGTGACCTGCAAAACACTTTCTGCAGCATTAGGCTAGACACCTTTTGTAATGGAACGAAATGATTATAAGTGCCTATTTCTATGAAGCAGCCCTGATTAAGATTTAACTAAAATCATAAGCTACATTTCAGCAGCATCTAACGAAGAACCCTGGGTTACGAATTGCTGACACAACAATTTGGAACTTTGGGGCCACGAAGTCCTGGACTGGCAATACTGCTTCAATAAGTAAACAGTTATAGGATATTTGCATGCTACTGCCATACCATTAAAGTGTAATCTATACTTATTCTGGATCTTGTTATAGATCTAAGTTTATTAAAAAGAGCAAAGGACTTTCCTATAATAGTTGTAGAAACAATGAATGCCGGTTATATAAAATTACTTTTCTTAGAATGTAGGGAATGCTGTTTGTTCGCTTAAAGTTGTAGATTACTTTATCCATGGGTAGTTGAATTTTCTCACCAGCCTTGAGATATATAATCTGTTGAGTACAACATCACTGATTCTATTATAATTCACCACGCAGAGTAAAAGAACCGTACATTTTCTCAGTGTTAGAATGTTATTTGAAAGCCTGTGTCTCTTCATAAGGCTTGTACAAATAATCATTAAATGAGTAATTCTAAAACGACCCCGAGAAGTAGATGTTGGCCATGCCCAATTTATAGATGAAGAAGCCGAGGCTCAAAATGGTCCAGACACCTGTCCTAAGTCACAAAGCTACTGACTATAGATAATGAGATTTACATCCAGGTTTGCCTGGCTACTGGGAACACACTGAACATGGAGCCCTGCTGGCCTTTTGTTCCCCATGCTT